AATATTGATATTTTTAAATGTTAAAATTTCAAAAAAAAAAAAAAAATTTCATAAAATATTCGAAAAAAAAAAAAAATTCAATTTTTTTTAAAAAACCTCAAAAATATAACCATTTCAATTTAATCCTTCATAATTTTACTATCTGGATATTTTTTTAAGTTGAATCATAATCAAATTAGAATATACATCGTTTAATTTGTAGAATATTATGATATATCTAATTAACTCAATAAAAAGTTCACTCGATTGCCAAGAATTTTAAATATAAATGGTATTCATTATATATATATAAATATATTATATTTATAAAAATACTTTTACATTAAATATTCATTATAAATATAAATACAATTTTTTTATTTAGATATTAAAAACTTTTTTCTTTTCTTTATCTTTTTTAAATAATTCTTTGTCCAAGCTATTACATGATTCATCTGACTCTTCATTATCGCTAAAACTACTATTTGAATGGTCATCGAGGGCTTCTTCGTCACTATATGCACCAAATTTTTCAATGACACCCCCAAAAAGTTTATAAGATTTGTTGTTAAAAATTGGATTTTGCGAGAGCTTTGTTTGGGCATAAATATTTTTTCTTTTTCTTTTTAAATCCTTGGTATTTTGAGATTGTGATGAAAGGTCATCAATAAAAGAGTCATTTAAATCATAGTCGTCATCTTCGCTGTTTTCTTCTTCATCGCTATCCTCATAATTTCCAACTCTTGGATCAAAGTCTTCATCTTCCTCCGCTTCTGAATCTTCATAAAAATAACAATTTACATTTGTTTTTTTCTTTGATATTTTTTGTTTTTTAATTGGTGATTTGGGTGATGATTTTAATTCCTCAAATTTATTTGAAACTATAATTGGTGATTGTTTTTTATTATTTTTTTTGATAAACTGCTTTTCGTCTTCACTGCTATCTAAATTATTTAATTTCTTTTTATTTTTTTTAGAAATTTTGGTTGGTGATTGAGAAAGTGGAGATACTTTAAATTTGTTTTGAACTATTTTTGAGTTTAAAAATTTTTGGTTTTCAAAACTTGAATCTAAATAATTTGTTGGTTTATAATTTTTATCTATCTCATTGTTTGCTGATTCATGTTTATCCGCTATTTCAACCGACTTATTAATCAATTCATTTTCTTCTTCAAAGTTAATATCTGTATTAAAGAATTTTGATTTGGTGTGTTCATTTCCAATTGGGATAATTTCTTTTTTTTGTTTCACTTCATCTTTTTTTGTTTTTTCATTAAAATTAATTGTATTTTTGGTTGAACTGAATTGTTTTGGAATATCATTTTGAATCTCTTTATTTGTTTTTTCTATTTGAATTGATTCGTTAATTGATTTCTTTGTTCCTTTTATTATGTCGTTTTCTCTGAACTCTTTTCTTTTTGAAATTTGTTCAATGTTTTTGTTATTATATTCCTTTTTTGTTTTGTTTGTTAAGATAATATCTGGTTGGATATTTTTTGTTTCATTTATATTCATAGATTGAAAAAAATTTTCAAAATTGAAAACGAAATCATTTGGAGGAAGATTTGGTAACAGGACTACATTCTCGGTTGGATTTGAATAATTTCTTATAAATGGAACAAAATTTTTTTCGATTGTATTAAAAGATTTTGATAGATTTGAAAGATCATCTTGGCTAAATGAAATATCAAACCCTTGATTTTCATAATCAAATTTTTGCACATCGATTTCCTCTTTATTATATTCATTATCTTGAAAGTGATGGGCTGTTGTTTTATATTGATTATTAAATCCAGGAATTGAGCTGAATAGTAAATTTAAACCTTTCTTCCCAATAAAGTCATATAATTCGGTTTTAATTGAATGAGATATCTTATCTGTTGGAGTAATTGTGCTTGATTGGTTTTTTAAAACTGATTTCCAATCAAAAGTTGTATTATGATTTATGATTGGTGAGTATTTATTTTCTAAATAAGCCAAATCATTTTTTGATAAATAATTGATTGAAGAGGAGGATTTCTTTGTTGATTTGATTTTTGTTGATGTTTGTTTATTAAAAAAGTCATCAACAGTTTTATCTTTTTTTTTTTTTTTTTGTTCATGGTGATCATCTTCTTCAAGAGGCACAACTTCAAAGTACTTTGGGGTTGGAGTAATACCATTCGGTATCATTCTTTGGCAGTTATGAAAAGTGAAATCTGTTTCTTTAAAACTATTATATTGGTCCAATTTCTCCAAGGAAGCTTGATAAATTCCTTCTTCATAACCTTCGCCCAATAAAAATACACATCTTCCTTCTCTTTTTCTTCCTGTTCTACCAGTTCTTTGGGTATTCTTTAATGGAGATTGTTGAACATCAAAACAGATAACTAGATCGACTTCGCCAATATCTAAACCTTCTTCGCCAACACAGGTTGATACTAAAACGTTAACACTACCATTTTTAAATCTATCCAACACTTTTAATTGATCTTTTTGACCCATACCTTTAGAAATCTTATCCCCTGATTGACCATGAAATGGGGAGATGTGAATATCATTCGAACTTTTGAATTTATTCATGTATTCAATAATTTCTCTAAAATGTTAAAAAAGTTAGGATGAGGAAACAATGATACTAATTTTATAATATTTGTTAGTTTATACTTACTGTACACCATTTCTAAATTGACAAAATATCATAATTTTTGAAGTTTTTGGAGAATTGTTTTCAAAGTGATCATTAACCACCTGATTTAATTTAATAAGTTTATCATGATAAAACACACCTTTTTTAATAATTTCGTCAACTTCGTTCACAAACATTTTCCAACTTTGGTTTTTGTTTTTTAAAGATTCGACACTTTTAGATGACTGGTCGTTTGTAATTTTTTCATAAAATGATTTTAAACCATGTGATTTTAATAAATAATAAGATTGATATAAAAAATTTAAAATTGATAAATCTTTTTGGGTTTGAAAATATTTAGGCTGTTTAAAAAAAGCAACTATCAGTAAGATAACAAATTAAAAAAATAATATTATTAAATTTAATGTGACCTACATTATATTGTGTTAAGCTTTGAATTCTTTTTTGTTGATTTAAAATAAAAGTTGTGGAGATTTTATCTGGGTCCGTTATTTGGGTGATATTATCTTTATTTAATTGGCTTATGGATGGTTGCATAAATAATTTCATTTTATTGATTAATCCTTTTAGTGTATCTGAAAATTGAACAACAATAACATCAACATTTTTTTTTTGGATATATGGCACCACATCATCAGATCTCTCATTTCTTACATCCATTTGGGTAATTAATAAATTATCTATAACTTTTTGAATATCTTGAACTTTATTACCGGGAGTTGCTGTAAGAGCTAAAACTCTAAAGTATTTAGTTTTTGAACAAACTTTTTTTATACTTGTGCAATAGTCATAAGAACCTTTTGCACGATGAGCCTCATCAATAACAACACAACGAATATTTGATGCATCACAGTCACCACTATCTATATCATTTGCTAGAATTTGAGGTGTTGAAAAAAATATTCTTTTAGTTTGCCAGAGTGGTTTTCTTTTATCTTTTGAGACGGTTGATCCTGTAAAAAAAATAGACTCTCTTTTGCTGATGCCCGTATCCCGATGAAATGCTTCGATTTGTTGATGTACCAAAGATTTAGTGTGAACTAAAAATATTAGTTTTGAATTGGGAAACCAACGATAATAATTTAAAATAAGTATATTTGCAATGAAAGTTTTACCTAAACCAGTTGGTAAACAAATTAAGGAATTTTCTAAAACTGCATCTTGAACAAACTGTAACTGATATACTCTTATATTCTCTTTTGGATATAAAAATTCATGAATTTCTTTTTCATTAATAATTGGTGGTGTTTCATTTAATGCATCATCTGAATATTCAAATCCTTCTGGTAAATAGGGTGAAAATTTTTTTGGTTTATTTGGATTTTTAAATGAATAACTATTTGTTTGTTTATAATTTGAAATTGGTTTGGTTGGTGTAAATATTGGCTTTGGTGGTAATATAGGTTTTGGAGGTAATGATGGTTTTAATGATGAAACAATTGTTGGTTTTGGTTGTACCGGCTTTGGGTTTGTGGGGAGTGGAATATCATCAAAATTAACATCATCCATATCTAAATCTAAATCATCATCAATTATTATAGGTTGGTTAAAACTATTATTTGTTGTTATGGTGGTGTTTATTGGACTATTACTGCTAGTAGGTGAATCTATATCCATATCCTTTGGAATTGATGAACTGCTACCATCACCTATATTATCGCTATTATTATCATTGCTATCTTCATTGAAAAAATCGTCATCAAAAACTATATCATCTTCTATAATTGGTTTGTTATTAATATTTAAAACACGAGAACGATTCTGATTTAAATTTGGTTGTTGTTTTTTTTTTTGCTGTTGTTGTTGAGCATCTTTAAAAGGTGAACCTTGTTTTAGTGTAAACTGACCCGCTGCACCATTACCGAACGGATCAGATATTTGTCTATTTAAAAATATATTATCATTTTTGGGAGTTTCTTTTTTCTTTTGATATGATTCACCAAATGAATTTCTACTATTGTTAAAACTATTAATATTACTGTTATTATTATTTATATTGTTACTGCTACTGCTATTAATATTGCTATGAGATACTCCTGAAAAAAATGAAGTAATTGATAATTGACCTTTTTTTTGTTGTTGTTGTGGTGGTTTATTTGTGAATTTATCTTTTATTAAAGAATTATTATTATTCATAATTTATATAAACATATCCCTAACATTACTTTAAAAATATTTATTTTAATTACTATAATTAAACAAAATGGGAATTTGTAAATTTACAATTTAAATTATTTTTCATAAAATTTAATTTAAAAATAAATAAAAAAATAAAAAAAATTCAAAAGTTTTTATTTTTTTTTTTATTTTTTTTTTTTTAAATTTTTTAAAAATTTTTTTTTTTCCCATTATTTCAAAATTTTTAAGAAATATAATATATAATAATGAAAAAATGAATAAAAGTGATAGTCAAACACTATTAACAGAAAATAGTATATTTTATAAAAAGAAACAACAAAATTTAGCAAATCAAGATGGTCCAGACTTTGAAATGGAATGGGACCCAGACACCAAACTTTATACACCACCAAAAATATCACCATCACTTTTTCAATACAAACCCAAAAACGAAAAATCGGAAACATCAAACGAAATCGAGTTTATGTCAATTGATGAAATACAACACAAACAAAATAATAATAATAATAATAAAGATAATAATAGTGATAATAAAAACAATATAGATAATAATATAGATAATAATATAGATAATAATACAAATAATAACACAAATAATAATACAGATAATAATACAGATAATAATAATAATACAGATAGTAATGATAATAATATTGATTTAAATAAATTGTCATTTAATAGCGATAATGATAGTTTACATACAAAAGTAAAAAAAAGAAGTTTATTTGGTCATCATTTTGGTGGAAATAACAATAGTAGCGATACTCAAAGAAAACTCTATCTTACAAAACATTCAAAATTATCACATAATAATCCATTTAATTCGGATATCAGCCTATTTAATCATAATCAAAACAGTACACATAATGACAATAATAATAATAATATTAGTAATAATAATAATGTTCCTTTAAAATTACCAAAGTTATTAGAAGATTATTTATATTTTACTATCAAATTTTTTTTGGCATTATTATTATTTTTTGGAATTTATTTAACATTTAATACTATATTAAATGATGTAAATATTAAATATAAACTTCACTCTTCAGGTATTTTCAATTTATAAAATTTTCAACACATATTACTTTAATCTTATACTTACCTAATTCCAATTTTATTTTTATAGAAATTCAAAAAGAAGTAGAAAAATGTATAAAATCATATAACGAAAATAGATGCTCACCAATAACTAGAATACCAGCAATGGAAAAAACATGTACAGAATGGGAGCTATGCATGGAGAAAGATCCTTCCAAATTACCAAAGTAAGTATTTAAATCATTTTATAAAAATATTTTTATATTTTGATTACTAATTCTTTTAAATATAGATCTAAATTTTAGCAGAAATATTATCAGAAGCTTTAGATAGCTTTGTATCAAATATGTCATATAAAACCATGGCATTTTTAATTTTTATCGTTTGGTTGATAGTTTGGATTCCTAGTAAAATTTTTGAAAACAGTAGAAGAAATTCAAATTCGAATCCCCACCACCAACCAATCCAACAAATGCAACCACCTCAGTCAATCTTTGCCAAGGTAATTTATAAATAAAAAAAAAGAAACAATATATTTTCACAAAAACTAACCTATTATTTGTATTTTTTAACTTAGAATTTATTCGCTTTAGATAAAGATTTTTCAAGAAACTTGGAACATAGATTATTAGAAGATTAGGTTCTCTAAAATATACACCCATTGAAGATAAATGGATGATTAATTTCATATATACATTCATCAAAACAAATATCAATAAAAGTTTTTAATTTTTTTTAAATAACAGTTTTTACAGTTTTATTTTATTTGTAATGTTTTTTTTATTATTACATTTATATTTTTGTTGAAGATAATTATTATAATATTATAAAATTGTATTAATTACATAGTTTTCTACATAAGGAATTGCATCAATTGGCAACACAGATGCAGGATATAACGCCATTAAAATATATTTCTCTAAAGAAACCACTATTAGACCACCACCAACATTTAAATTTGTATTTAATCCATACCAACTTCTTGGTTTAATTGTTGTTATAATATCTAATTTATAAAACATTTGAACTATGTTAGTATTGTTATGACAATGATAATAATAATAATAATAATAATCAATAATGTTGATAATTTATCTATTTTTATATTTACATTTTGTACCAGATACACTTAAAAGTTCTAAATGTAGATTACCTTTATTTACACCATCTATAATTGCAATAACTTCGTTTAATTTAATTAACAAACCTTTTTGGGCTAATCTATAGTTTATAATTTTATAAATTTACAATTATTAGTATGACATAAACTATTGTTAAAACGAGAGTGTATTATTATAACCTACAGAGTATTTTTTAATTTTGAACCAGGTACTTTGGAAATGATTGCTGCAGACATTATAATTTTACCAACAAATTGATTAACATATTTTTCAAATTTAGCTTCTGGTTTATAAGAAGGGGGTAAAGCAATAGGTAATGGTGTTGCTGCTAATTTTTCAATTAATTCAACATTAGGTTGTTGATTTTGTTGTTGGTTTGATGATGACGATGTTGATGTGGTTTTTTTACTACTACTACTACCACTACTACTACTACCTTTACTCATTTCTTTTTTGTTACATTAATAAAAAAAAAAAAAAAAAACAGATTTATTTGATTTGTAAAAATATTAAATTATAATAAATTTTAAATTTAAAAAAAATAAAAAAAAATGAAAAAAAATGAAAAAAATTAAATTATTTTTTTTTTAAAATTAATTTATTTATTTTATTTTTTTTTTAAAAAACAATTAAAAACCAAATTTATCTAAAGATTTAATAATATTTTTTTGTATTTAAATATAAGTTTAGTTAAAGATACAATAGCAATAATAATAACAATAATTTGAATAATTCCCAAAGACTTTTCATTTTTTTTAAAAAAAATCTTTTTTTTTTTCACCCAACATATTTTTTTTATTTTTTTTTATTTTTTTAAACAGATTTTTATTTATTTTTTTATTTTCTTTTTTTTTTTTTTTTTATTTTGTTGTTTTATTCAATATTTTAATAAAATAAAAATTAATAACAGAGGTTAACACCATCAATTTTTCAAATGGAAAGAATACAAATAATATCAAATCATTTAACATCAGGTAAAACACAAGATACATCATCAACATCATCATTCGATTATTACCAATTAGACGATTTGTTAAATGACAATGACAAAGATATTAGATACAAAATTAAAAGTTTTGTAGACAATGAATTAAATAAAATAAATGTAAGTTATAAATATAAAAATAATATTATTTTTATAAATTAGAATTGGTTTTAATTATATTCAAAAAAAAAACAGATTAATGAATATTACGAAAAAGCAGAATTCCCATTTGAAGTTTTAGAAAAGTTATCAAAATTAAACTTAGTAGGATCTACAATGAAAGGATATGGATGTTCAAATATAACACCAACATCATTAGGATTAATCGGAATGGAGTTGGCAAAGAGTAGTGCAGATTTAGCAACATTTTATGCAATTTTATTAAATATTACAATGTTGGGTATATATTATTGTGGAAGTGAACAACAAAAAGAAAAATATTTACCAGATTTAGCATCAATGAAAAAAATTGGTGCATTTGCATTAACAGAACCTAATGCTGGTAGTGATGCCGCTGGTTTACAGTGTAAAGCAAAAAAAGTCGATGGTGGTTGGTTATTAACTGGTGAAAAAAGATGGATTGGGAATGCTCCATTTGCTGATGTCATTGTTGTTTGGGCAAGAAATGTAGACACTAATAAAATACATGGTTTCATTGTTGAACCTAAAACCGTCAATCAAAAAGGTTGCAGAATTGAAACTATTAAAAATAAGATTGCATTAAGAAGTGTTCAAAAGTAATTACCTTAAAAAAAACATAATTTATTAAATTTTATTACTAATCATTTTCTTTTATCGATATATAGTGGTCATATTTATTTTGATAATTGTTTTATTAGAGAGGATCAAAGATTACCATTAGCAAATGATTTTAATAGTGGTCCAGGAAGATGCTTATTTTTGACTAGGGTAGTAGTAGGATGGATTGCATTGGGTATAGCATCAAATGCATACGAAAAGTGTTTGGAGTATGTTAAAAATAGACAACAATTCGGGCAACCACTAGCACAGTTCCAAATCATTCAAGATAGATTGGTTAAAATGATGGGTAATATCCAAGCAATTGCACTAATGTGTATTAGAGTCTCGAGTCTTTATGAACAATCAAAACTAACATTGGGTCAAGCTGGTTTATTGAAAGCATTTGCATCTGCTAAAGCTAGAGAGGTTGTATCTTTAGCAAGAGAGTGTTTTGGAGGCAATGGTATTTTATTGGATCAAGGTGGTATTGGTAGAAACTTCGTTGATATTGAAGGTGTTTATACTTATGAAGGCACATACGATATTAATACTTTGGTTGCTGGTAGAGAAATTACGAAATTATCAGCAATATCCTCAAATAACAGAAATTTTAATAAATAAATATAATATAATATTAAAGGAATAAATAATAAAAGAAATTTCTTTTTTTTTTTTTTTAAAAATAATCATATATTATCTTTATTAAAAATTGTACCTTTAAAACCAGTTTCTTCGGTATAGTTTGAATCGTCGATAAATGATGAATAGTCATCAGATATTTTCATAACAATAATTTGATTTGGAACAATTTTATATTCACTTAAAAGTTTATTTTGATCTTTTAATTCAATAATTTGCGATTTTGTTGGATCTTGATCCTCGGACTCTTGTAAAATAAATAATCTTTGTTGAAAAGTTGATGTTTCTAAAATTGAACAAATTGTCAGCTTTAGTTGCTCGATAGTAAAATCACAACTAACTGGAGAGACTTCATTTCTAAATGCTAAATTTTTAAAAAATATAAAAAATAAAATTAATATAAAGCTCTATTACTTGTTTGATCCATATTGTATACATACATCTGGGAGTTCTAAAAGAAATTGGGAATTCATAGTATTTCTTATCTTTTTCATTATCTTTTTCATTTAATTTATGAATGAAAATTGTTTGTTCTGTATATTCTAATTTGCTTTTTTGATTAATTTCCTTTTGAAGTAAATAGCATTCATAACATATAAATAAAGGCTCAAGAAGGTTTCCATCTTTAACCTGAATAGTTAGATTATCTTTAACTCTATATCTATTTTCCAACTTGCTATAATATGTCTTTGGTATTAAAAGAAACGGTATGTCTTCGTCGTAATAACTATTGTTATAGTTTTCTTCTAAAGAAAATTGATTTAATTTTTTTATGATTGACGCATTATCCAAGTTATATATAAAACCTGAATGTTCTTTACAAATAAATTCACTATTATCAATTGGTTTTATAATATTTTCTTGACTTTCTTCTTTTTCTTCTTTTCCTTCTTCTTTATTAACATCATTGCTTTCAATTTCATCCTCATTTATTTTATCAGGATTTAAAACACTTTCTTCCCAGCTAACTAACCAATCTTTTGGTACTACACAATATTCACCTTCTTTAATGTTTGGTCTCTTCTTATTATTTTTATTTGAAATTAATGCTAAAAGATCCTTCATTTCTTTTTTGACTTCTTTAGATAATGTAACTTGAGAATTAATTTTATCAAGCATCAAGTCATCTTTTTCGGTACAGAGTATACATTGGGCAGTTTGTGATGAGAAAACATTTGAATTTGGATATTTTGAAAACAAGTGATCCCAAGTTTCCTTTTGAACCAAAAGTCTATCCTTTGTATCAAGATTTAAACCATCGTGTGGGCAAGAAATATCATAGGTTGGAGATACCTCAGAATATTGATTTTGACTAGATTTTTTCCAATTATTAAACCAATTCTTTGATATGTAATATTGTTGATTGTTATTATTATTATCATTACTATTGCTATTATCTGCTAATTTTATTTTTTTCTTTTCAACTGAAATTAAATGGTCTTTTATATTTTTTACATTTGCTTTTTCTTTAGTTTGAGAACATAGGAAATATAAACATTCATTACACACTGATGATTGATTAAATGATGGGCCACCATTCATTTCGCTATATAACATTATCCATCCCTGGCTACTTATACGTTTCATTGACTCTAATTTATTTGGGTTTAAAAAACCATGAGGACACTGTAGATTTGAGTTATCAATTGGTGAGCTGTGGCCTTGAATCCAATTCTTTAACCATTCAGTATCAATCCAATAATATTCACTATTGGTAATTTGATCCAATATTGATTGCTTCTTTGCATAGCGTTCATATTCATCAGTACCTTCGTCGCTATCATCCTCTTCAAAATCAAAATCTTGTTTAACTTGTAAATGAGGTTCAAGTTTTTGATAAGAGTCGATTCTATCCTTCCATAATAACCTCATCTTTTCGAATTCAATATCAAATGTACTCTTATTTGAAACAAAGGTATCTTCCATCTCTTCTAAACGCTTTAATAACCTTTTTGAAAGATTTTTATGTGACTTTAACGGGTTGTTTGGATCTTCCTCTAAATGAATTACTTCTCTATTTTTCTTTGAATATGACACCATATATGCGGTTGATGATGAAATAATACCTTCTTGTTTCTTTCTTCTTCCGTTTTTACCATCTTTACCTAAATTTTTTAATTCTATCTCTTCAACTGTTTCATCATCAAATTTGTACCATTTACCACTAACATCATCTTTTAAATGACAAATGTAATGACCACCTGAAGTACCAACACCTTGATGCATTAAAATACCACTTAATTGATAGCAAAGTTCTTCATTTTTAATTTCATTATTTAAATTACTATTAATTGATTTTTTACTTTTATTGCTATTGTTTGATTTAATTTCGCTATCTGAATCTGAATCAGATGGATAATATAAACTCAAATCTTTAATAGACTCCCCCTGTGATATTATTTTTGATATATTATTACTATTATTATTATTATTGCCATTATTATTGATATCATTATTCAAAAAATTGGATAAATTTAACTCTAATGGAAAACTAAAACTATCATGAATTTTCTTTTTTCTGAATGTATTTTTATCAAATGTGTAACGTAACAATTGGAAATTTAAATATGGTGGGATTCTAGTTAACTCGATCGATCTTGAGCAGTCGTTATTTGAATTACATTTCTTACAAAAATAATCATTAATAGTTTCTTTTGAAAAGTATCGTTTTAATGATTCCTCCAAACCACTTGATCCTTCTACTTGAACCTGAATTTCAAGGAATGAACTTGCAGATTTTGATTTACCATGGCACTTTAAACATTCCGTTATATAATGACATTGTCCTTGAAAAAGTCTTTTTAAAAAATTATATTCTCCGTTGGATTGTTGCTGTTCCTGCAGTTGTGAATTAATTAAATCGATTTGAGATTCAATAAGGCCTATAAACAATATAAAAAACTCTTGAATATCTTGGTGTACTGAGTTTGATAATTCCAGTGTGTTTACAAATTCTGATGGATCAAATACCTTGTTTCTATTAAACTGCATATTTAAAAACAATAGTCTTAACTGATCGATAATTTCATTCTTTTTTTCTAAAGATTCAATATTGTTGTCTTGATTATTCATTTCTAAAATTAATTTTCTAAATTCCCTGTTCATAAATAATAATTGTAATAAAGAGTTTGCATAACATGTTGCACCTAGATTTTTTAAACCTGCTGGTTGGATTGAAATATCTCTTTCTTCAACTTGTTGAATTAATTCTTTTTTTATTTCAATTGGTTTATTGTTTTTGTTGTTATCGATATTATTATTATTATTATTATTATTATTATTATTATCATTAATATGGACATTATTTAAATGAGTTTGTATATTATCGTTATTTACATTTTCACTTTCTTGATCCAATACTATTGGATTTTTACTATTATTATTTGATTCTTTAATACGATTATTTATTAAATTTTCAATTACATATGTATCGATATCACTACTAAAATATTTTTGACCCAGGTGATGAAAACAATTGGGGTTATCCATGCAATTCTTTGTTGGTTTTTCTAAAAAATAAAATAAAATAATTAGTATAATTATTATCATTTAGTAATTATTATAAATAGTCTTTTTTTTTACATACTTTTATCACAAACTAAATTAATATTTAAAGTTTGATCTAATAATTTAATATAAAATTCTTTTTCTTTAATTTCATTTATATTTTTAGAAATGATATTTTTATCCCCATTTTCTGTTATTATATTTTTGTTATTGTTATCACTGCCGCTATTAGTATTATCTATCCTCTTCTTTAATGAATTTATTAAATCTATATCTATTGAGTCTATATGAGTTTCGAAATCTCTTTGTTTTCTTTTATTACTACTATTATTTTTCATATTATTATTGTTTATTATTCAATTAATTTATGAAAATTAATTTTTATTTGATTGTTGAATTTTGAAGGTTTAATTTAAAAAATACAAATAATTTTATTTTAAAAATAGTATTTTATTGATAAACTAATATTTATAGTTTATAATTTACTTAAAAAAAAAGCTCATTTATTAAAAAAAAAAAAAAAAAATATTAATTAAATAATTTTTTTTTTTTTTTATTTTTTTTTAATTTTTTTTTTTTTTTTATATTTTTTTTTTTATTTTTTTAATTTTTATTTTTTTTTAAACCCACACACAATTTTTGTATTCATTATAATTTTTTTTTATATATTTTTATTATTAAAGATAAAAACTATTAAAATTTATATTTTTAGAAATAAATTTATACACCAATAATAAATTTAAATAAACTATAAATACTTTTATAAAAACCAGTTTAAAAAAATAATAATAATAAAAGAAATCAATATTTTTTTTTTTTACACCAATATAAAAAATAGTAATAATAATTAATAATAATATTATACACAATTTAAATAAAATAATTTTTTTTAAAAAAATAAATAGTAATAATAATAATAATAATAATCTATATAAATATTTAATAAATGGCTATTAAAAAGCCAATTAATGTTAAACAATTATCAGATAAATTAGGAGTTCCAATTTTACCTGATGATCCAGGTACAATTTTTCATTTACAAGAAAGATTAGGTAAAGGATCTTTTGGTCAAGTTTTTAAAGCGGTTCATATAGTTGATGGTAAAGTTGTAGCTATTAAAATTATATCGTTAGATGATCAAGAAGCAATCAAAGATGTACGTAAAGAGATTTCAATTCTTGCAGAATGTAATGATAGAAATATAGTTCAATATTATGGTAGTTATTTCAAGGATCACCAATTATGGATCGTCATGGAGTATTGTGGAGGTGGTTCTATCTCTGATTTATTACAAGTTATCGATACTATCTCTGAAGATGAAATCGCTTTAATCTGCAGAGAAGCTTTAAAGGGTTTAAGCTATTTACACGAATTCAAAAAAATTCATCGTGATATCAAGGGTGGAAATATATTATTAAATGATTCTGGTGAAGTTAAATTGGGTATGTATTTAAATATTATATCAGTATTGTTATTATTTTTGTAGTATATATTTACTAATTATAATTTATTATTATCTAACAGCTGATTTTGGTGTTTCTGCACAATTATTTAATACATTTTCAAAAAGAAATACATTTGTTGGTACACCTTATTGGATGGCTCCAGAAGTTATTCAAGAAAATAAATATGATGGAAAGGCTGATATATGGTCATTGGGTATTACTGCAATTGAAATGGCAGAGGGATTACCACCAAATGCAAATGTTCACCCAATGAGAGTTATTTTTATGATTCCAAGAGAAGAGTCACCCGGATTATCAGAAAAAGATCTTTGGTCTCAAAAATTTCAAGATTTTCTCAGCAAGTGTTTAACTAAAGACCCATCAGAACGTCCAACCGCAAAAGAATTATTGGATCATGAATTTATTCAAATAAATAAGCCAATTTCGATTCTTGCTGATCTTGTAGAGAAATGCAAAAATCTTTTAAATAACTCTGTTTTTGATGATGAAGACGAAGAAGAGTATAGCACATTTGTAGAAAAGAAAACTAGCGACGATGAAAAAGAAGAAAAACACTCCAACGGTGCATCAAATACAACCAATAGTAGTGGCACTGTTAATATCTACTCAACTGTTATAACTAAAGATGATGTAGATACTGACTCTGAAAAGTATTCAACCGTAATCACCAAAGAATCAAAAGACGACGATGAAGATGATCCAAGTAAATATTCAACCGTTGTAACAAAGGAAGATATAGTCGATGAGGAATCATCCGATGATCAGTTCTCTACAGTTGTAACAAAAAACATTTCATCACCCACAGCAAATAGAAGAAAAGGTAAATCAACACCTTCACCAAAATCTTCACCAAAAACCTCACCCATTTCAGAATCAATAACCAATGGTATTAGTAATAACAATCAAATCAATAATAATAATAATGACGATAAGAATATTGTAAATAAAATTCAACAACAAACACCTTCAAAAACACCTTCTTCTCCAACTATAACAAATATAACACCTCATAAACCACCTTTAAATGGAAATAATAATATAAATAATACTCCAAATAAAGATATAAATAAATCGCCCTCAACTGGCTTAAGAAAATCAAATAATAGCACTCCAACTGTACAATTAAAATCAAGTGTTGAAAAAACCCCAACAAAAACTCCATCTGTATATAATAGTAATAATATTAGTAATAGTAATATTTCAAATAGTTCATCAAGTAGTTTCACTAAATCACCATCACCCAAAAATTTAAAACATAATAGTAATAGTAGCAGTAATACAACAGGGGCATTAAAAACAAGTGGAGGTATGAAGAAACATTCACCAAAACCAAAATCAAAAGAACCAAGAGAATCATTATCTGAAAATGTAATTATTTATTTTTTATATATTTTAAAAAAAAAAACATTATTAATATAAATTTTTTATATAGCTCCAAAATATTTACAGAAATGATTGCACAATCCAATTACCATTTTTAACATTAAATAATATAACAACAGATTATCTTGTTAGTACAGAATATAAATATAATGATTTTAAATTAGCATTAAGTGATTTATGTGCTGATCAAAATGTAGGTTTAATTTAAAAAAAAAAAATTTATAAATTTATACTAATATTTTATTATACAAAAATAGATAATATCTTCATCAAAATTATCATTCAGTCCATTTATGGGTAATTTAATTAAATCTCTTAGTTATCATAAAGATATTCAAGAAAACGAATTAATGACACCAAAAGAATCAATCCAAAATACTAAAACTGTAAATGAAATAAGTTCAACTGTCAAAACTATATTTAGACTTTAAATAATAATAATAATAATAATAATAATAATAATAATTTTTTTATATACATAAACATAAAATACAATATTGTATTTTATGTTTATGTATATAAAAATAAAAAACAATATATACATAAAACAACAATAATAATATTATATAAAATAATAATAATTATTTATTAATTTAATTTTTAATAAAATAAAAAAAAATAATAACAGTAAATTAAAGTTTACTATTATTTGCTATCATATATCTTTTGAATATATGATTATTTTACTTTATCACATTGATTAAAATATCTTATTGTTTATATTTTATTTTTTTTACAAGATCATAATTATTTTTTTTTTATAAATACAAAAAAATTATTTTATTAATTACCCAAATTTTAGAACAACCACATATAATGGCAATATTGCTAAACTTATTTCCAAATACTTAAGAAACCAAATTTTAATACCTCTAAAGTAGTATATCAGAAATTATTTACCATCATCTCTAATCTTTTTTTTGATTATCATGGTCCAAGCTCATTCGAAATATTGCAATTACCTCATGACTTTAACCTATTCCAGTCGGCATTATACATAAAATAAAGAAATTAGTTACAAAAATTAAAAAATCTTTTTATTATTGAATTTCAATGATTATTTTTGATTTAATATTATATTGATTTGAATTGAATTGTTTCCATTCTGATTACTATTTAGTGGGTCTTTGATATAACATTTTGTTGTAACTGGCTAAATAAGAAATTTTTTGTTTGGGTTTGAAATGGAGTTGTGTTCTAAAGGATTGACATCTAATGATTTGGAATTGAACCAGGTATTAATTGATACTTGATGTTGTATAAACACAAGCATTTTACGGTGGGTGGAATAAAATTAAGCGGTTGATTAAAACCATCTTCTATTATTAAATCTATAACTGTTGCTGGAATTAAATCAGGTGTTAATTGACACTTGATGTTATGTAAATACAACCTTTGTACGGTGGGTGGTATAAAATTAAGTGGTTGATTAAAGCCATCAAGTAAATATAAATGTATAACTGTTGCTGGAATTGAATCAGGTGTTAGTTGATACTTGATGTTATGTAAATACAACCTTTGTACGGTGGGTGGTATAAAATTAAGTGGTTGATTAAAGCCATCAAGTAATATTAAACGTGTAACTGTTGCTGGAATTGAGTCACGTGTTAATTGATACTCGATGTTATCTAAATACAAGTGTTGTACGGTGGGTGGTATAAAATTAAGTGGTTGATTAAAGCCATCAAGTAAATATAAATGTATAACTGTTGCTGGAATTGAATCAGGTGTTAATTGATACTTGATGTTTTTTAAATACAAGAATTGTACTGTGGGTGGTATAAAATTAAGTGGTTGATTAAAGCCATCTTCTAAAAATAAATGTATAACTGTTGCTGGAATTGAATCAGGTGTTAATTGATACTTGATGTTTTCTAAATGCAAGCCTTTTACGGTGGGTGGTATAAAATTAAGTGGTTGATTAAAGCCATCTAGTAAAAATAAATGTGTAACTGTTGCTGGAATTGAATCAGGTGTTAGTTGATACTTGATGTTATGTAAATACAACCTTTGTACGGTGGGTGGTATAAAATTAAGTGGTTGATTAAAGCCATCTTCTAAAAATAAATGTATAACTGTTGCTGGAATTGAATCAGGTGTTAGTTGATACTTGATGTTATGTAAATACAACCTTTGTACGGTGGGTGGTATAAAATTAAGTGGTTGATTAAAGCCATCTTTTAAACATAGATCTGTAACTGTTGCTGGAATTGAATCAGGTGTTAATTGATACTTGATGTTATCTAAATACAACAATTTATACTTGATGTTTTTTAAAAACAAATATTTTACGGTGGGTGGGAAAAAGCTAAGTGGTTGATCAAAGCCATATTGTAAATATAAATGTTTAACTGTTGCTGGAATTGAACCAGGTGTTAATTGATACTTGATGTTATCTAAATACAAGCATTTTATGGTGGGTGGTATAAAATCAAGTGGTTGATTAAAGCCATCCTGTAAATATAAATGTGTAACTGTTGCTGGAATAATTTTGGGTAAAAATTCGATAGGTCCAATAGCAAGATTTCTAATTTTTAAATGTCTAATATCACACCCTTCTTCGTAAATTATAAATTCTTTATTATTAACTTTTTTAAAGGGAATTAATATAGGTATTATTGGTTTAAAATAAAAAATTTAAAACTTACGTTTTAGTGTTTTAAAATCTAAATCAATATCAATTACCTCTAAATAACTGTTTATTAAATCTTTGATTGAGTCGAGATTATTTTCTTGAATTATTAATTTGGTATTTTTATATTCTGGTAGGTTATTATTATTTATATTTGATAAAAGATTGTTACATTGATGATTGTGTTTTAAAAGTTTAATAAATTCATTATTAATATTATTATCATCATTATCATTAATATCATTATTATATTTAATAGCATTATTAATTTTATTATTATTGTTTTCTATTGTTGTTGTTATTATATTATTTACATCTTTATTTTGGTCTAATTGAGTTATTAATAATCTTTTGATATCATTTTCTTTTGCATTGATAATATTTTTTAATTCCTTAAACATTTTATAAGTTTCATCAAAATTCTTTATATGGTTATTTTGAATTTGTTTAAATTTGTTGTTTGATTTATCAAATATTTTTTTATTATTTTCTAAATAGTTGTTTAGTTTTGGTATTGTTTGATCCTTAAATTCTTGTTGTATTTGATTTCTTAAATTTATATCATTTAATTTTTTAAAAATATGCCCGCTATGAATGCCAGTAATACAATCAATACAGACAGGAGTGTTGTTTGGACAATTTGAGCATATTGAAACAATATCTTGATATGGATGATCAAAGTATTTATTATCATATTGTTGATTATTAGACATTATTAATTTTAGGATTTAATTTAATTTTTATTTTTTTTGAATTATTATTTATAATAGCTTTAAAACAAAAATATATTTTTTTAATAAATTTATATAATAAATTGTATTTTATTATATATATTTATAAATTATAATTTGAATAATGGTGTGGATAAAAATATTTAAAATAATATAAACAGTAAAGTGTTTAGGTTGTACTTTTTGCAAAAAAAAAAAAAAATTCAAAATATTTTAAAAATCAAATTAAAATAATTTTTTTTTTGTTTTTTTTTGTGTAAAAAACCCACTTTACAAATTTTTTTTCAACTTAAGTTGAATAAACCACATTTTAACCCAAAAAAAAAAAAAATTTATTTTATAATTTTTTTCCACACATAAAAAAAATGAAATATTTTTTTATTATTTTTATTATATTTTTATATATAAATAAAATCACTTGTATTAATAATAAACCCTGTCCATGTTCAAATCAAAAATTGTGCGAACCAGTATCAGTAGGTTATAGAAAAGAGTTTTTGGGTTTTTCAGTAAATAATACACACTACCCATATTATGATTGGGATATATTAACAACAATAGGTGTTTTTTATGATGAACCAATAGAAGATGAATTACTTTGTTTAGCACACAGCAAAGATGTTAGATTAGTATACTCTGCATATTATCCAGTAGATCAATTAGGTAACTACACACAGAGAACTGAATGGATCAATGAAAAAGTAGAACAAGTGGTTAGTACATATGCAGATGGTGTAAACTTTGACGTAGAAGATCCAATAACAAATGCAACAATTGCTCAATGGTATACAGAATTAGTAGATGAAACCAATAAAGCTTTTAAGAGTATAAATCCATACTATAGTGTAACCGTAGATATTGCATGGTCTCCAAACTGTATTGATGATAGATGCTATGACTATGTTGGTTTATCAAAGGTAAGTGACTATATGGTTGTTATGGATTACGACCTAAGATCAAGAGTTTATGGTGTCTCTGTCTGTACAGCTAGTGCCAATTCACCACCAGAATTAATCATTGAGGGTTTATTAAACTTTACTAAGCTCGGAATATCTCCAGACGTATTGGTTATGGGTTTACCATTTTATGGATATAATTACAGCTGCATAAATTCAAACAGTACCTTTGACTCGAAAGAATGTGTTATACCAGCAGGTTCCTATCTTGGTTGTAATTGCACTGATGCTGTTGGTAATGAAGTTAACTATGATTTGATTATGGATATGCTTCAAGATGATTCAATTAAAAAGAGTCCATTAGGATGGGATCGTGATTTACAATCTCCATTCTTTAATTTTATTGATCCATCTACAAATTCAAAACATCAAATGTGGTTTGATAATCCAGAGTCATTAGAATATAAAGTTAAAATGGCTAGAAAATATGTAAGTATTATAATTGTTTTATTATTTAATTAAAATTTACTAATCAACAAAATTCAAATAGGAATTAAGGGGTGTTTCTGTATGGAACATTGATCAACTAAATACCCACAACCAAAAACAATCAGATCCAATGTGGGAATCTCTTGGTATATTTTTTAAATAAATTATTTAAACAATAAAAATAAAAAAAATAAAAAATAAAAAATAAAAAAATAATTAATAAAAAAAAAAAACATTATATAATGTAATGTAGTTTATTATTTGTTTGTTTTGGGATTTTAGAAAATTAAAGGTTTTATTTAAAGCAAAGACCGGACTTGTTTCTTTATATTTACTACAACGGCTGTTGTGCCACTAAATATTTACACTGTTGCATATTTGAACCATACATTTCACATAAGATATTTTGTATTTGACTTTTTTTTTTTATTTACATTTTTACAAGATTATTTTATTATTTATTTACAATTTTGAAATTTTTATTTAATTATATTTGCATTATTTTATTCTCTAAAAAATGTAATTAATTTATAAAAGTATTTTTTGATTTTATTTTTATTTGAGTTGTCATACATCATTTTTAAATTATTTTAAAATATATTTATAAATATTTTAGTATAATTACTATTATTATAAAATTTATTATTTTATTTTTTAAAAGTTTTATTTATTAAAAATGATTTTTTTTTTTTATTTATATTTTTATTTTTTTATTAGGTTTTTTTATCATTGATTAAAAAATAATTTATTATATTATTTTCAACTACCCCTTAACTTCATTTTTTTTGAAAATATTTAATTATAATGTTCATTTTACACACATACCATTTATATTTCATTTTTTTCACTTTATTTGAATGGAAATTCTTTTAAGAAAAATTGATTTTTTTTTTTAAAATTTATTATATGATAATGCACATTATAATATATAATGATTTAAAAAAAAATAATTACACAATGTGTGTGAGTTGCAATAATAATATTCAAAAAAAATGTGTTTATAAAAATATTTTTATATTAAAATATGTGCGTTTTGTAAGTGTGTTAGTGTGAATGTTTGTGGGTGCAATATTCAAATTATTAATTTTGATACATAGTTTTTTGTTTCTTTATATATTTATGCAAAATAATAAAAAAAGGAAAATACTTTGAGATTTAATTTTTACTTTTAAAAAATTCGTTTGATTATTATGTATTTATTTATTTAGCATTATAAATAATTTTATTTTTTATAAAAATGAAAAAATTTAAATATTGAAAATAACAATAAGATATTATATTATTATCAGTTAGTTTAGAAAAGATAATACTCGTTTTCAATCTACACAAATAGATGAATTTTATTTTATAATTTTTATATTCAAATTGGTAGTGAAGTTGACTACAATGATTTGAAAAAAAAATGATGTGTAAATTATCTTTAAGTATTGGTATTTGTGTTAAAATAATCATTATTGTTAAAACTATTATTGTATGTGTGTGTGTGTGAATGTGTGTGAATATATGATTTTTATTATTTTTTTTAAATATCATTTTACAATATCTTTATAATAATAATATGATAGATTTTTTAAAAAAACTGTTCATTTTTTATTTTTTTTATTTTTTTATAAAATTGTGTGGGTGTAGACCTGAATATATTCACATAAAGTTTTATTTATTTCAAAAAAAATAATATTTTTTACATACACTAACCACACATTCTCAACTAATATGAAAATAAAAAAAGACAGTTTTTTAAATGCAGATTAAAAGTCGTAACGGTATTACACTTTCAAGTGTACTCTTTAAAAGAATATTTATTTTTAAATATAATTATTTTTTTTATTTTTTTTAAAAATAATTTTTATTTCACTATAAATAATTTTTAAAAATGATATCATTTAACAATAAAAAATATTTTATAAAATATCATATAAATAAAATAAAATAAATAACATTATAAAAATGAACTGTATATATATAAATAATAATCCTAATAAAAATAATAAAATAATATCAAATGATAAACCATTGTATAATAATAATAATAATAAAAATGATAGTGACAATAATTTTATAAAAGAAACTTTTATGGAATGTGTAGAATGTGGTCTTTTTGAAGAATTTAACGAAATGGATTTTGCCAATGTCAAAAATATATTAAATTGTCTAGAGTGTTTCTATCCAAAGTATAATCATGAAGAAGTAATGGTTGCATCTGCAGTTTTATGTTGGGTATCTCTTTTTGAAGAATTATTGGAAGACAATCAAACCAATCAAGAACAACAACAAATCCTAATTAAAAAATACAAAGATATACTCATTGCTGGTAAAAATAGTCTATATATTAGAGATACAGAGTATAATAATTTAACACCATTGGAAAAGTATTCATTAGTAATTAGATTTAGACTATTAAAACCAACATCACAAAAAAGAAATGAAATGATATTCGATATCTTTATTCATTGCCTTAATGAATGGTTTCATTCAATAACCACTAAAACCAAAAGCGATAGTGTAACCGTTGGTATATATTTTTTAATTGCTATAAATAGTTCCACTACAGATCCATTAAATATATCCTATGATGATGTATATAACTCTTTTCTTTTTTAAAAAAATATAAATAAATTAATTTTATACATTTTTTAAACTGTTTTTTTTTTTTAAAAAACCAAATTTATAAAAGTATTAATAGATAGAAAAATTGGTATGATAGCTGAATGAAAATACGTATTAGTTGTAAAAAAAATAAAAAATTCATTGCAATTGTATAAATGAAATATTTAAAAGGAGATGTGTTTATTTTCTTAAAAAAAAAAAAAAAAAAAAAAAAATTAAATTTTTAAAAATATAAATTTTTTAAAAAAAAAAAAATTTAAAATTGGGGAAATAAAACACAACCTTTGGTCATATTGATTTATAAAAAGAAACAAGTTGTTTTTCAAAAAAATTATGAATTATTTGATGTCAAAGTGTATTTTTTCTTTAGGCCATGGTCCTGTAACAAGGTATATTTGATTGACGTTGTATCACTTTATTTTAGTAATAATAAATGAAGAAACAAATAGTTTGGTTTCATATATAAATCTAAGAAAAATACACTCTATTTTATTAAAAAATATATTTATATAATGTTATATCAATTTTTATAAGAAAAACTTAAAATTATTTTTACTCACACACCCACAAAATTATTTTTTTTTAACTTAAAAATTTTTTTAAATATTTTTTTATGATGAACTTAATTATTTTTATTATTATTTATTTTTTTTTTTGTATATGAAAAATGAATAAATTTAAATTAAAGAAAATTATTTTTAGCTACCAAAGTATTTTATTTTTTAAAATCATTATTGTTTCTATATCTTCTATTTTAAATAAATGGAATGATTGTTTAATTTTAAGTACAGCTTTTTTTACCATTTCAGATGCATTAATGAACAATATGAAAAATTTTCCTAAAAAAAAAAAAAAAGAAAGTAAAATAATAGTGATTCTCCATTTAATTTATGAAAGTTTCCATATTTTATACAATGCTTATATGTTATATAAAGAAAAAAAAATATCACTTGAAATAATAGCCAATGCAATAACCCCACTCCAAAGCATTGTTCAAGACCTAATGGTAAGAATTATAATATTTTTATAAATAATGTAAAAATATATAATTATATATTTATATAAAAAAACTAATACAAAAAAAATTCCAAAGAAAATTTTTATTAAGGAAAAAGAAAGAAAAACTAAAAATGAATTAATTGCAGAAATTAAAAAACTAAATAAACAACTTCAGCAATCTTCCATTATAATTAACCAAAATGAAGCTCAATTTCAGCATATTAAAAAGCAAAAAAGGGTAATTAATATTCCAGACCAAAATGCTTTGGAAAAGGAATCATTTTATGAAGAAAATGAAGAAGATTTTAATAATAGAACGTTCTTAAAAAAAAAAACTATTTAATAAAATTTAATATACCCAAAAAAAGATTTTTTATTAAAGTGAAGTTGTTTTTTTTAAATTTAAGTTTTAGAATAAAGATTTTTTTTTATTTTTTTATTTTATAAAGTATTAATCTACGTAAAATATGTTTATTACAAAAAAAAATTTTATCACCCAGTAAAAGTGATGATTTATTGAACTGAGTTTAGATATATGGGTTTAATAAAAGTTTTTGTGATTGTTCAACATCAATATCATTGATATTATTGTTGTCAACATAGAATAATGGTACTGATGATGGTGATGAGGTTGAAATTGGTGGATTGTATAATAAACTATATGGTACTGGTCCCATGTATTTTCTAATGTTATCATTTAATACTTGGAGATATTCATCATCATTACCAACTTGATATTTACTTGTAAGAATACCTCTTGATCTTGAGAATAACTATAATTTTTTTAAATAAAATATATAAATTAATATTAGGTCAATTAATTGAAAGAGAATATATAATTCCATTATATACTTACTGCATAGTTGTAAATAAAGAAGAAAATAATGAATACATCTAAACCGATAGCATAATGAACCATAGTGTTTACGAAATATCCACCATGGTTATAATAATCAAAGAACCAATAAATTTGGAGTGCAGCATGTAAATATAAAATTATAATAAAAAGGAATGCAAATTTATTAAACTTGATTTGTTTTTTAAGTTGAACATTCTTTTCTTTTAAAATCTTGTTGACACCTTTTCTTAATTTAAAAATCTGTAAATAAATAAAAAAAAACATTAATAATCTTGTTTTATTTTATTTTATTTTATTTTATTTTATTTTATTTTATTTTATTTTATTTTATTTTATTTTATTTTATTTTATTTTAATGCATACTTTGACTAACATGTAAATTGCAATTGGTAATGTAATAAAAGCGTTTAAAAATGCTGAAGCAAGTAAATAAACTGAAACAAACTTTAAGCAAACATTATTAACAAACATAACTAATGGTAAAAAGAAACAAAATACAAAAACTAATAAATTTTGTAAATAATGGAGATGTGGTGATTTACCAGAAATGTAACGAATATAATCTCCGATTTCTTCGTATTCATCTTCGGTTAAAACACCAATTAATTCAATTGGGAATTCTTTGTTGTAGTTGTATTCAACTGGGAACATTCTTTCTGAAAATGATTTTGGATTTTCAATAATTTCAAAACCAAATTCATAATCGAATTGTTTAGAATTTGATTGTTTTTGACCCATTTTTAATATAATAAATTATCTATATCAGATATATATAAATTACAAATAATAAATTATATATAAATTTTACAAATAATAATAAATTTGATAAAAAAAAAAATAAAAAATAAAAAAAAAAAAGATTATGTGGTTAAAAATTTAATTTTAAAAAAAAAATAAAAAAAAAATTAAAAAATTAAAAAAAAAATTATTATAATTAAAAAAAATTAAAAAAAATAAAATTAGATTTTTTTTCTTTATTTTAAAAAAAGTCAATATAATTAAAATAATTCTTTATTTTAAAAAAAATCAATATCTCGTTTAAGAGTGAATAGTTTTCTGATGATATTTTTTTTATTGAATTTGGTTATTCCCACCAATTTCCTTGGGCAATATTTTTTCAATTTCTGTGGTTAAAAAAAAAAAAAAAAAAAAAAATAAATAATTTAAATCTTGGCTTTACATATAACTTACCAACATTTATAGAAAAATCATCAATTTCCATATTATCATCATTATTATTTTGTTGTATTTTTGGTGGTGCATAATGAAATGGATATATATGTCGCAATTACAAAGAGAACATGGCACATATGAAGCAGCTCGGAAAAAATAATAAAAGAAATAGTTTTCTTTTCTTCTTTAATTTTTAATGTTTGTTTTTTAATTTCATCATAATACCACTTTTTTCTGTGGACATTTTACAAAAATAAATTTAAAATATTTATACAAGTGGATTTGGGTAAGTTCCAAGTTTGTTTATCAAATGTTCTACCTGTTTTATAATTGTTATAGACAGTTTCCAACTAAAATAATAACAATGAAATAAAGAAAACTATAATTTTCTAAAATTTCTGTCAGATTATTTATTTTTTTTAAAATTTATTGAGGAGTACTGTAGTATTTTGGAAAATATTACAACCTAACCATTCGAAAAATAAATATCTCCACGATTCAATTGATGTGTTTGAAGTTTCTATACCAAAATCTTCATTATAAAACATTGATAATCTTGCAAAATCAATTTCTCTTAAACCAAATACATCACCCACAGTTTTTGGGAATAGATCTGGGTTTGGTTTATCTTTGACGTTGCTTGGTCTTGGTGGGTTCTCTTTGGTGAGCAAGTGTGGGAAATTACCAATGGCTTTAAATGTTTTTAATGGTACCTTTAACTTTCTGTGGGGTTGGTTTAATGGACAATATTTGTAATTATAATCTCTGATTTGAAAATTGTCAAATTCTAATTTGAATGCATCTAGTCTTTCAATTATAAAATCTTTTTTCATATTTATTTATATTTATTTATATATATTTATGATGTATATATGATGAAATTGAATTTATAATTTTTAAAATAGTTTTTTTTTTTTTTTTTCTGTTTTTTTTTTTTTAATTTTTTAAGATGGTATCACAAAAATAATCAATATTTACCATCAGGTGTGGACCTGTACAAGTTTTAGGGATTCCTCAATTCATTCGAGTTTGGAGATATTAAAATTCGGCTAAAA